GAAATAAGAGGAACCCCGAAGTAGTTAATAGGAAAATTACCTGCAGAGAATCCTAACAGATTGTGAATGGAAGATTTGACATTATCATCAACACCTCCATAAAAAATAGAGCTCTTATTTGCATTTGCTTCTAAGCCTGAAACATTGCTAAATTCCCTGAGGCACTTGTGTAACTTAGACACTAAATTCAGATCACCTTTGGAGAATAAGAGCAGGTCATCATCAAATATTAGGTGTGAGATCCTCAACTTAGCACATTTAGGGTGATATTTGAAAATTTTATCATTCTTCAAAAGATCCAAGCTCCTAGATAAGTACTCCATGCCTAGGATGAACAAGTATGGGGAGAGAGGATCTCCTTGTCTAAGGCCACATTCTCTTTGAATTATCCATAAAGGGAACCATTAAGAGAGAGAGAGAATATTTAAGAGAAGTAATACAAGCCATTATCCAATTTATCATAGCAATAGGAAAACCCAGCCCTTTAAGCATGTCTGATAGAAATTCCCAACTAATTATATCAAATGCCTTCCTGATGTCCACTTTCAGCATGACCCTTGGGGAAAGACTCTTTCTGTTGTAGTTCTTAACTAGTTCATGGGCTAGCATGATGTTACTTGAGATCAACCTCCCATTAACAAAAGCACATTCAGCTTCATTCACCAAGTATCCTAACACATTTTTAATCCTGTTGGCTAGAATTTTTGTGATGAATTTATATATACAGTTGCAATAGGAAGTAGGCTTGAAATCTGAGAAGGTTTTTTGGACATTGCACTTTGGGAATTAGAGTAATTAAAGTAAAGTTTACCACACCCAAGAGTTTGCATGTTTTGAAGAAGTCTTTTATTGCCAAAGTGACTTCATCTCCAATGGTTTCCCAAGCAGATTTGAAGAATGCCACACTAAACCCATCAGGACCTGGTGATTTGTTGTCTGGCGTTGAGAAAATAGCACCTTTAATTTCTTCATTAGTGACAGGATTAGATAGCTCTTTGGCTTGAGCATCAGAGAGACATGGCCCAGACTTTATAACATTTATGTCAAGAGGTGAAGTATCAACTGCAGTTCCCATAAGATTTCCATAAAAAGAAACCAATTCATTTATAATTCCATCACCATCAGTTATCCTATCTCTTCTGTTATTGTACAGAACTGCAATCCTGTTGTTGTGTCTCTTTGCTTTTACAATATCATGGAAAAAACTGGTGCATCTATCACCATGTAAACTCCAAGCAATTCTGGCTTTTTGCTGAAAAAAAGATAACTCACATTCCACCTGCTTGTTGTAATTTGAAAGGCATTCTTTCTCTTGAGTAATAAGAATAGGATCAAGAGGATAAGCTTGAAGTCTACCCTGAACATTCTCCAAGGCATTTTTAGCCCTTTGGACTTGTTCACTTATATTATAAAAATGCTTTTTGTTCAAACTCTTAAGAGCACCTATCAGCATTTTTAGTTTGGCATAAATAGAGTACATGGTGAAACCATCAATTGTAGTTTGCCAAACATTAGAGACTGTAGGGGAGAAGCTTGGATGATTAATCCACATTTTAAAGAACTTAAAAGGCTTTTTCCCTTAAGACATATCTTCATATATTGAGACTAATGCTGAAGAATGTTCTGAGAAATTGGGGAGAAGGAATTCCACATGGCTAGTATTGAGCGAATGTATCCAAGTATCATTTATCAAAGCCCTATCTAATCTGCTCCAGACCTTAGTTTCAGAGCCTTGCTTGTTGTTCCATGTGTAAAAACAGCCCAGAGTTTTCAGATGGTAAAGATGACAATTAGAATTGAAATTACTAAAATTAGAAGTATCAGCCTCAGATAGCCTAGTCCCTCCAAGCTTCTCATCATTATTAATCATAGCATTGAAGTCTCCACAGAGAATCCATGGTTCATTTCCAATTCTATGTTTAATCTACTTGAGCTCATCCCATAAATCTTTCCTTTCATCCAAAAGATTGAAGTCATAAACTGAGGATATAATACATTCTAGCCTCCCATCCAATGATTTAGTTTTGCATGTAATCTGTTGGTCAGAGGAATTAATAATGATGAGAATTCTGGTCTTGCCATGAGCCCTAACATTAGACATCCACCTCTAGTTTTTCCCTATTTTCTTTGTAGCAATAGGTAGCAATGCTTTCTTAATTTTAGTTTCATGAAGAGCAATAAAGGATATATGATATTGAACCAGATAGTGTCTAACCAATTGTTGCTTAGAGAACTTGTTTGGTCCTCTAACATTCCAAAAAGAGAAATTCATTTGTTGACAAACCCTCTATCAAAAGTAGAGGGGTCAATGTCCAAGAATTCTAAAGATGAGAAAGAATTTTTTGAATTCAGATGCTTCATAACTTTTTTGTTTTGAACAAGTGACTAAGATTTGTTCATATGAGGGGAGTTGAGGGTATCAGCTCCTGGATCTTGAACATGCACCACATGCACAGATTCAGGACCAAAAATTTGTCTGCTTTCCCCAGCACAGAAATTAAACTGATTTGCCCCAGAAGTAACAATCCCATATTCAGCTTCTGGTTTTTTAGCATGCACACCATGCACAGGCTCAGGACTAGGAAATTTGCAACATTTTCCAGCACATAATTTTCTAAACTAGTTAACCCCAGAGGCAACAGACACATTGTTACCAACATTCACATGCCCAGTTTCAGCTCTTGGATTAAGAACATGCCCCACATGCACAAGTTTAGAATCTGGAATTTTTTTCTCAAGCTCAGAACCCTTTAAACTGGTTTGCCTAGCAGCAACAGATACATTGTTATCAACATGCACCACCCCTGGACTGTGTGCAACATACCCTGCCTGAGCAAGATTCCTATGATCAACATACAACATGCACAGACTTATCAAGATTCCTTTAAACCTCTGAGCACCCTTGATTGTGCACAATTTTAACCTCTGATGCTCCAAGCATAACCTAGGCATTTTTCCTGATTGTGCACAACTTTATTTAGCTCAACTTAAGCATAGAAGCTTGAGTATTGCCCCCTTGATTTCATGAGTGTCTTGAAACATTCTCTGAATCTTTGTCAACCTTATAAGGAGCAATTAAATTTTGTTTTGGTATCCATCTTTTGGATCTAGGTTGTCTCTTACAATATACTGAATCATGACCCACCACTTTGCAAAAATCACACCATCTTGGCTCAAATTCATAGTTAACCTTCTGAGAAAAACTTTTACCATTTGCCCCTTGGATAGAAATTTGATCAGGCAGAGGTGAGGGCAATTGCACTTCAACAAGGATCCTAGCATAGGCTAATCTCTGTTTATTAGCTATAAGCTTGTTAGTGGTAATAAGCCTTTCAATGACACTTACAATTTTGCTAATACTTTTAGCATTCTACAGATTATGTTTCAGTCTAGGTAATTATATCCATATAGGATAAATGTTATCTTTAATTCTATCAAAATCTTCATCTATTTCCTAGGGATTTAAGATATAAGGTCTAGACCTAAAAAACCAGGGTCCATTCTCAAGGATAACACACATATCTTCCTTGTTTTTAAACTTGAAAAGATAAACACCAGCTCTGAGAAGACAAACTTCTAGAATTGTCAACTGAGCCCATACTTTTTGAACAAAAGTTTCCATGGCTTTATATTTAACATTAAGCCCTACAACTTGACCAAAAAGTGAAGATTGCCAAAGGGAAGCACCTTCATTCTATTCATCATTTTCAAAGATCACGATATCTTTATCGGCCGGTGACACATAATTCAGATCCATACCACTCCCTGGTTTTCTATTGCCAACAAATAGATTAATCTAATTCTTGCTACCATTATTAACAGGAACAGAAGCATCTGGAACCTTTTTAGATTCTAATGGAGGGAATTCTGAATTTACATTTCCTATAAAAAGAGGTTTTTTGATGAACCCTGTCTTCTGAAATCACTACATGTTCCCTTTTCCCCAATGAAACAGTAGCTGAGTCCATATTAGACACAATAATCCCAGGATTTGATCTATAAAAACTAGCAGGATCAGATTTTCCAAGATAAGAACCATCAACATTCAAGATTGACTCAAGAATAGGATCAGATCTCAGAGATCCAGATCTACTACCATCAACATTCATCTCAATAGGATTCAAAGAAGTAGAGCCAGAAACAACATCAAGAATTGAAAAAGATCTTTTAGATCTAGGATTTCTTACCGAATTTGAAGATCGAAGCTGAGGGGATGAGTCTTCAACCAATTCAACCTCATTCCCCTCAATCCAAACAAGCCCTTAGTTAGCAATTTATGTGAAACAACTAATGGAGGGATTAATTTGGAATAACTAATGGACTATGGAGCAACTTATGTGAAACAACTAATGGAGGGATTAATTTGGAATAACTAATGGCGTGTTTGAATTTCAATGGGGTTAAGAGAAGTTAAGAAAAACTAGGTAAGAGGAGGGAAGGAAAAGGACGGGAAGGGAATGGAAGGGAAGGGAGTTCACTTCCCCTTGGTTACACCCTAATTTGGGGGTAACAAATTTTATACTATTAAGGGGTGAATTAAGGGGAAATAGGGTGAATAACTTCACCTCCTAAGTGTTCCCAAACAAGATGAATAGTTCCCCGAACTTCTCTTCTCCCTTGTTCCTCTCAATCCAAACAAGCCCTAATAAATTTAGGGACTACTAAGCTTAAATATCAAAATACAAGGGACTGATGACAGAAAAACCCAAATTAGAGAAAGAGAAAGGCCAAAAAAAAGGAAAGGAAAAAGGAGGAAGAAAAAATCAGAGCCCAATTATCCCCATCGCCACATGCCCGCATCCTCTTGGCTGAGCAGCTGAGGTCCCCTGTCCTCTCCCTTCCCACCTCTGCTCCTGCTTCTTCCTCCAGCTTGACCTCACCATCCTTTTCTCCAATTTTCTCCCCCTTTTTTTTCCTGTTTCTTTTGATATCTCCACCAACTTCTCCTTTGAGTACCCACATCCTGTTGCACAGCAAACCCATCAAAAAACCCATCCAAAATGCCTTCAGGTGTTGTCGGNCCCCCCGCCGCTGCCGCCACCGACACCACCACCACCAACAAAAACCTGAGCATAGTTTGGTTCAGGAGAGATCTGAGGGTTGAAGACAACCCGGCTCTCTCAGCTGGAGTCAGGTCAGGCTCAGTGCTTGCGGTCTTCATCTGGGCTCCAGAGGAAGAGGGCCACTATTATCCTGGGAGAGTCTCCAGGTGGTGGCTCAGCCAGAGCCTGGCCCACCTTGATTCCTCTTTGAGGAGCCTTGGGGCTCCTCTTGTAACCAGGAGGTCCTTTGACTCTGTTTCTACGCTTGCCCAGATTATTCAGTCCACTGGTGCTCGTAGCCTCTTCTTCAATCACCTCTATGGTAATTTACTGATTTCTTTATCTGTTTGCTATTTTTGGTGACGGCTACTTTATTATGGGGTTTAGTTAAGTTTCCCCTTTTGGGTGTTTAGGATTAATTTATTAGTGCTGATGTGGGATTCATATGTTACTTGTGGTGAGGAGTTATTGCGTACAGTGTTTAGGATGGGAATTTTTGTCCTCCTCCTGAATTTGGGGGACATGGGAGTTGTGAAAACTGATATGATTTTAGATTTTTCGCACTTGGGTTTTGAGGTATATTTCTACCTGATCAATTATACGAGGTGTGTTTTTTACATTTTTGTGCTAACTGATCCTGTCAGCTGGTTGGTTTTGATGTTGTCGATGAGCTTGATATCTTGTATTGACCTCTGCCTCCTTTTGTATCAAGATGCTGAATTGTTTATGATGTTTTGTTTGTTGTCATTTATATATGACATGTTCATATGATCAAGTTTTCTGTGTTTGTGTTTTGGAAGTGAACTCGTAAGCTATTAGTTTTTTTTTGCACTGCGTGATATTTGGATTATGGTTTTTCTTGAATCCCTTTAAAAAAAAATCTTCTGCGAATGGATTAAACATGGTTATGAGTCGAGAGGAAAGGGGCTGTTCATAGACAGCTAGTGTCATCTCGATATCATTCTCGAACTTGACTCATCTGCTCAAACAATTACCCTGCATAGTTTGACACCTTTTGATTTGTTATTATGCAGTGGAGAGTTTAGTCTTTGATCGCCCGTGCACGTTATTTTAGGGGTGTATGTAAACTCTGCGCTTTTAACCTGTCTTTTTTTCTTCGTGCAGATCCTTTGTCCCTTGTCAGGGACCATCGTCTGAAGGAAATTCTCACTGCTCAAGGAGTAAATGTTCGTTCTTTCAATGCTGATTTACTCTATGAACCTTGGGAAGTTAACGACGAGAATGGTTGCGCTTTTACTACTTTTGCACCATTCTGGAATAAATGTCTCAGTATGCCTTATGATCCTGCAGCACCCATGTTGCCTCCTAAAAGAATATCATCAGGTTCATTCTTTGAAAATCACTCGTAATTTCATCACCCAGTTTTCTGTATCTAATGACATGATGTAATTGTTGGTGTTTGAACATGCATATTTTCAAATTGTTGAAACTAATAATAATAGGGGCTAATAGGAGACATATATCTTTGATATTTTTTCCCTCTGCCATCTGTTATGCTTACACATTCGATTCACATTTCTCTATTTAAGGAAGTATGTGATAGCCATTGTGCTTCTTCTGGTTGAGTTATCCTTTTGCTTTGTTCTTAACCATATTGATCAATTGTATAGTTAAGTACAGCAGTAAAACCAAATTGTCCCATGGGACTAATCTAGGTGCCACTAATCTAGGTGCTAAGTATTCCATTTTAGTAATACTCTCGCCCGTGCTAAATTGTATAACTGTGTGTTTGTAATGGATGCTATATTGTGAAGGTTATCAAACATCCTGACTTGTCAGAATAAGAATCTCATGTAAGTTATTTCATGTTACTTATCTGCATGCTGTATATCTAATGATACAATGTTTGGGCAACTAGTTAAGATTATCCGATTTTGTTTTCTAATTATGGATTCTCAGAACGAACTTATCTCATAAGTTAATGATAAATGACATTGATTTGCTTTATAAAAATGACATTGACAATTAATTTCATAAACTAACTTGCACAGATTAGCAACTCTGTTACTAGTGATCCTTCCCGTTACATCTTGAAGAGGACTTTAACCCAGAATAAAATGCACAGTTTGTACTCAGCCTTCAAATCTTCTGAAGCTAGTGTATCGTGATACTACCCAAGTTATCAATATGATACTGAAGTATATATTTCTGGATTCCAGGTGACGTATCAAGGTGCCCTGCAGATACACTTGTTTTCGAAGATGAGTCTGAGAGAGGAAGTAATGCGCTCCTTGCTCGATCTTGGTCGCCAGGCTGGCGAAATGCTGACAGGGCGCTGACAGCCTTTATCAACGGACCATTGATTGATTACTCCATTAACCGAAAGAAAGCCGATGGTGCAACGACATCTCTCCTTTCACCCCATTTACATTTTGGAGAACTCAGCGTTCGGAAAGTGTTCCACCTTGTTCGAATCAAGCAACTAGTTTGGGCTAATGAAGGAAACAAAGAAGGCGAAGAGAGTGTCAATTTATTCCTCAAATCCATCGGTCTTCGTGAGTACTCAAGGTATCTGAGCTTCAACCATCCTTGTAGTCATGAGAGGCCACTTCTTGCACATCTTAGGTATTTTCCATGGGTGGTTGACGAGGGTTATTTTAAAGCTTGGAGACAAGGAAGGACGGGATATCCACTAGTGGATGCAGGTATGAGAGAGCTATGGGCAACTGGTTGGTTGCATGATAGGATTCGGGTGGTGGTGTCAAGCTTCTTTGTGAAAGTACTGCAGCTTCCGTGGAGATGGGGAATGAAGTACTTTTGGGATACACTTTTGGATGCTGATCTTGAAAGTGATGCCCTGGGTTGGCAGTATATATCTGGCACTCTTCCTGATGGTCGTGATTTTGATCGCATTGATAACCCTCAGGTAGCATTTTAATTGGAAAAATAAAGTTTTAATTTGTAAAACGAATTATGCTGGGTTTTTTTTGGGGCGCAAACATGAGAAGCAATTGAGTGCCGCATGACTAACATTTGGGTTAGAAAAGGGTGGATGTTTTAGATCCGTTATGTTTGAGAAAAAGAAGGCTCCTCCTCACCCATCTCCACTCAACCTATCTACATCACTAATCAGCCCTGTAGCATCAAATGTACTTTTACCGTGAAAGGAAGGGAATATCGAGAATTGGGAGAGGTTGGGAAAAGGGTTATATTTTCTATAAAAAAAGTAACGAAAATGAAGCTATTATGCAGATTTAGATAACATCTGCATGCTTGTGTGAGTGATGCGAAAGCACACAAGATTGAATAGATGTATAAAACAGCTGCATGGTTATGTGCGAAAGTACTCGCTTTTCTCGGTTGATGTGAGGTATTGATGAAAGATGCCTATGACGTAGAAAGACATGATTAAATAGATGTTGGGGCTTAAAGACAACCTGAAAACTTTTGTGCACGCTGCACTCACTACACTTTTGATATACAGGTATTTATGTGTTGATTTAAAGTTAATTAATTTATGATTATAGGATGTTTTTGAATCATTTTATCACTTGATCACTTTCCTAGCAGAATGTTAGTTAAGAAACATGTTCAAAAATGAGTGCAACATGGATGAGAATGTTACGATGGATTTCTGGACATACACTACGAGGTTGGAGGTTGCTCCTATTGAGGATAAAATGAGAGAGAATTGACTAGGATAGTTTGGTTATGTCATGTGTAACAGAGACCACTGAATGCACCGGTTACGAGAGAAATGATAATAGAGGTAGAGAACTGAACAGAACAATATGATTCATGCCACCAACCCAAAAAATTGGCTGAAGGTTTTATTGTTTTGTGGTTGTTCATTGTCGGTAGTGGTGTTTTTGTTGCTTTACTATACATTTTTAAGGAAACTTAAGTGAGGATGATATACAGATTCTAAAATTGTTTTTACACTGGATCACGGATATTTCTGCTTATTTATCATATTCTTTATTGATCTGTCAGCTTGAAGGCTACAAGTTTGACCCAAATGGAGAGTATGTACGCCGTTGGCTTCCTGAACTTGCTCGGTTACCCACTAGCTGGATACACCACCCATGGGCTGCACCTGAAACTGTACTACGTGCTGCGGGAATTGAACTTGGCTCCAATTACCCTCTCCCCATTGTAGAAATCTCTGCTGCAAAAGCCAGATTACAAGAAGCTCTCACTGAAATGTGGCAACTAGAAGCAGCATCAAGAGCTGCAATGGAGAATGGAACCGAAGAAGGCCTTGGAGATTCCTCCGAGATACCTCTTATCGACTTCCCTCAAGACCTACAGATGGAAGTAGACCATGAACCTGTTCGTATAAACAGTAACAATCTGAATGCTGATCGAAGACATGAAGATCAGATGGTTCCTAGTATGACTGCTTCATTAGTTAGAGTCGAAGAAGAAGTCTCTGTGGATGTGGGAAATAGTGCAGAAGTTAGCAGAGGAGAAGTACCAGTAAATGTAAATTTTACTCCAGTGGCTCAAGGAGAAGCAATGGACCAGGGTGGGACCCAACCGGATGCAATAGAGTCAACGGCAGAGTCATCTAGTACTTGGTCGGAGAGAGACGGAGGGCTGGTCCCGGTTTGGTCTCCGCCTACGGTTTCTAGTCACTCGGAACAATTTGTGGCAGATGATACTGGAACTGGGAGTGGTGGATATCTACAGAGGCATCCACAATCTCATCAGCTGATGAACTGGAGGCAGCTTTCACAGAGTGTGTGAGTGAAATATCTTGATTAGACTTCTCATACTTCTGTTTGAACTAATGCATTTCTACTATGACTTTATTAGTAGGACTTGACTTTTTACTAGGGGTGCATTCGGTCCGGATACGGCTCGGATATGATACTTAACATATCCATATCCGCTTACCCATTTCGGATACGGATACTAATATACTTCGGTAAGAAAAGTTCATATCCATATCCGCTAAAATCGGATACGGTTACGGATACACGTACGGATATATAAGCGGATATTCATGAGGATACAAAACGGATATGAGAAAACTACTGAGAAAAATATAGTTCATGCGACATATAAGAGTTCATTAATATGTTCGTTCTAACTGAAAAACTAAGATTAGACATCTTGATCATCAAAAGTACAAGGGGTCTATCCGCAATTGGCCTACATTACAGGTCTGTCCCTGCACCAATATAACTACCGGGTTTCTATCTGCAATTGGGCGATACTGCACCGTTCTATCCGTAATTAACCCCAAGAAAAACAATCTAAAGAACAGCAGAGTTAAGTTACTAGAAAGGGAATTAGGACTTAGTTATAATAACGATCACTTCATCTACGATTGCTGTATGGTGATATCTCAAGAAAATATTCTGATTTGTGTAAATTTTATTTGACAGAACAAGGAATTGGGAGGTGGAGAATGCCGTGCAGCCCAACGCTATCGGTTAGATTTCTCAATGGAAGAAACAGCAACGTAAACTTCTCATCCTTTTCTATTATAGCATGGTCTAGTTTGTGCAGACAGTGAGATCCTCGACTACCTCCTTGTATCATATATTTGTTGTATAGATGTTTCTTATAAATGCTTTATTCATAAGGTAATTAATTTTTTATCTCAAATGCATCTGAATCCCTAACTTTAATTTTTTTTTTCTCCTCAAATGGTATTTTACACTTTAGACAAGCACCCCTACTAATGGGATAGTGATGTTGGATTATAGGCATAATCATAGGAAGCAATTTATCAAAATTATGGTGTCGGCTTATTCTATGCTTCTTGTTCACTCATCAAAACATATGATGCATCATTATCACCTTGACAAATTTCCTTGAAAATGTGATATTGTTTTCACAGGATCATGCCCTCATTTTTTTTGTTATCTCAATAGTATTATAACAGATGCCAATACGATTCTCGTTTCTACTATGACATGTTCCGTTTATTTTCTAGTAATTTGTTCATCGTGATCTTGATTCATACAACATAATGAATCTTACTGTTGGTATTTGAAACTGACCCTTAGAATCTTATGAAATTCCTTATGTAAAAAGTGTCAGATGGATGCAAACTTTCCCAACTCGTATTAGGTTCAAAATCCATTTAAGTTCGATTGCGTAATATGAATCATAATATTAGTTCTAATTTGATCAGAAAGCTTAATTGTTTTAACCCACATCAGCTTACAAGTTACAATTCTCAACTATAGTAGCAAAAGAAACAGGATTAGTAACTTCAGCTTGTTTACTTATAAGCTGGTTGCATGGTTAGATTTCGAACCAAATGAATAGATGCACAACCAGTGAACTACGCAACCAATGCTAGAACAGTTGAAAATCTATCTTAGGTTTGTTCCATCCGAAAATCTATCCTAGGTCTTAGGATTTGTAGAAAGAATAGACAATCTCATTATCTGACAATCTCCAAAGTGAAATCTTGTCAAGTTCATGATATAGCTCAATCTCATCCCCTGGAGAAAAAAAGCAGACGCATTAGAAATGGAATCAGATAAACAAAAAATGATTATGTAAGAAATGAGATAACAAGAAAATACCTGCATTATAAGCTGCTTGGGGAGTTCTGTTTAGTTTGTTATTCATATTCTTTATTGTGTTCTTCTGAATCTCATTAGGCAACCGAAGAAGATTATACAGTGATGCAGCAGATGATGTGCCGATAACTGGGGGTATTATATAAATCCATGACTTTCTGAAGTTGTGTGCTGCAATGGTTGGTCCTATGCTTCTTGCAGGGTTCATTGAAGCCCCAGTTATTTTCTGCAATTGCACGAAATATTTGATAAGACAACGAGCATAATGACCTTTTAAAGCTTTCAAGGACTAGCGTTAGCTTGACTTACACCCTTAATTCACAATCTGATTTTGCTATAGCGTCCGAAAAAGGTTTATTTTGACATGGTATCCAAGATACGTGGTTTTATGAGTTCAAACCTCGTTGTTATTGAACTTAAATTATATTATACATGAGGAGTGTATGAGCATGATGTAGATTCTTAAGCCAACCTGATATCTTCATCTTTTAATAAGAATAACCTTTAATAGGCAGAAGAGACCTGGAGATGTTGAAACTCTTTGTTTTCGATCATTTTCCTTTTGGTTTGATAACATCACCAACAACATGATTCCGTAAGCTATATTTATATGTTTCGTTTTCTAATCTTTAATCTTACCTCCTCTTGTGATATTTCCCTCTCTTCTTCCCCTCCCTTTTCCTCCCTGTTCTGATTATATTATCTCTAGCTAAACCTGCACGAGACGAAATATAATTTTGCCAGAACAATTTACTATTTGGAGGTTCGTTTATCATAGTCCCTAAATCGCCAGAAATGGCAATAGGCCTTGTAAGCTTACAGCTTACCCTGCAATTATAACGTCGAGGAAAATGGCAGCTTCAACCGCTGCTCCTGAAAGCTCCCTGATCTATATACCAAGCAGTAAAAGAAAAGAAACAATTAGTCTGAAGTTATTTCAGCGGTAAAGGTTTACGAGCAAGAAATATGTGTTGCATTTTGACTTATGGGCTGAAAACGCATGCGAGAAGAACTCGAAATCTTGCGGATCTATGGTCAGAGGCAGCACAAAGTGTTTTAAGTTCATCTCCTTTGAATAGCTAGACCTTTGACACTATCAGACTACAACAGAGCCTATAAAAATACCCAAAAATTAAACAGTTAGGTATTAGCTCAAATTTTTTTCTAATTTTCCTAATCTTTCCGATGTTGGACTACATCAATATATGAATCTCTAACATAGATGGCAACATTATACCTGTTTCCAAGGAAATCGGGCGGATGATACCAAAGGAAAAAGTGACTGCAGGATTGAGCTGAGCTCTTGAAATATGACCAACAGTGTGTTTGGGAGATGACTTGTGGCCTGTTTGGATGGAGGGTAGAGAGGGAGTGGAAGAGAAATCTAATTTTAACATTGTTTGGAAGTTCCATTTAGGAGGGTAGAGGAGGGGAATGTGGGGAAAATTTGAACCAAAATCTTACACCCCAAATTGGGGTGTAATGAAGAGGAAGGGAAGGGGAAATTTTTCCATTCCTTCCCCTTCCTTCCCTTAGGGAAAGGAAAGGAAGTGGAAAAGTTCCCCTTCCTTCCTTTCCCCTTAATTACATCCTAATTTTGGGAGTAAGGTTTTGACTCAAATTTCCCCCCTCATTCCCTTCCTCTACCCTCCTAAATGAAACTCCCAAACAATGTTAAAATTAGATTTCCCTTCCCCTCCCCCCTCTCTACCCTCCATCCAAACAGGCCACAAGGGTATATGTCATAGCCGTTACCACCAAGCTCCAAGCGAAGGCTACCCCCGCTATGGTTATGTTGTACCTCTGGTTCACCAGACCAGTGCCACATCCTATGAATACAAGTCCCTACGAACTCAGCTAACACCTGATCCATCACAAAGAAAGAAATCAGATAAGAATTCAACATTATAACTAAATAGTTACGTTTAGTTATTAGACTCTGCTTTTTGGAGAGTTGTAGGAGAAAGCTTGAGTTCTTCTTCAACGATCATCATCGACAAGAGATTTCCATCAGCCATATTTTGAGAATTTGCCATCTCAATAGTCAACACCATAAAGGAATTTACTGACCAAAAGTTTTATATATAAAGAACAAAGGAGACATTTGAATTGCATGAAAGCTCACTCCGGTGGTTTTATGGTAAAGTAAGGGATAATTTGAGGAAAAGTCAGATGCATATAGTCCAATTTACGAGAAATGTACACTACAAGGGTGCAATTGCTTATATCAAACATATTAATGTTTATACATCGGAATGTCAATACCTTAAATTTTAGTTAATCCGTACACCATATCTCGTAAATTCTTCTATAAGAAACTTTTCTCATAAATTTCCATTTGCATGGTAGAATTTTTTGAAGAACATAAGTCATTTTTTTACATTTACCATAAGGTGAAAAAAGCAGAAAGAACATACATCTGAAGTTTTACATCACTACTCAAGGAGCCACCCCTAACATGTATCTTCCAAAAACAAAATACACTCAAATCTCTAGACTGTGAATCGTAGTCGTATAGCTTGTAACACTAAAAACTATAAAAATCATGAAGTTATTAAAATAATTTTGGAGGAAATGTCATAACTTAGGGATATCTAAGTAGAAGAAAAGAGGAAATATTTTAGCTATTTTGATCTTTGGCCAAAGAAGGGAACATTGTAGCAATTATTGCTGAGGGAGGCAGGATGTGATAATGATATACGTAGCTCAGGAAGTTTTCGAACAAATAAACAAATACAGTCATAAGTTTCAGCCGACTAAGAAACATTATACATGAAATTTTCCATTTTTATTTTGTTTTACATTAAAGTAAACTAATCATTCCACTAAAGATCACTTAACATTATCATTCCCATCGATAAATATCAGTGGGCTAGGCGGAGTACGTATATTTGTGAGCTTTATAAATGGGCTTTGTTGGAGAAACATAGGCCGAACATAAGCCTATTTGTGTGGGCATACTGTAACTGCGCTAATATAATAAGTGGGCTTTACGGACCTATATATAAGTGGGCTTTATGATTACACAGGGAAGGGACTAGATATAAAAATGGGTGACGTTGGCGAATTACATATGTGACGTGTGGGCTTCGGCAGAGTACTATGAATTGGTGGCAGATGTTTCGTCAGTTTTTTCTTGCTTAATTGCTTGTAAATGTTTGATTTTACTCAAATCTTCCATAATTTTATATTTACCACCCAAATCATCATAGTTGCCAACATATCCCCAAATCTTCCAAAGTTGCATACTTGCCTCCCACATATTCATAATTGATGATATTACCCCCAGATCTTCCATAATTTCATGTTTATCAAGGTTTTAAATATCGGGTGTTGGGTTCATGTCATACAACTAAAAACCATGTCGGATAGCAGAAATCAAGGATATGTCGGGGAACATAAAAAATATCGGATTGTCATATTGGATGGAGTGCACATGTGCAATATAATATCATAAATAAAATCTAAACATACTTAATAAATTCTATTGTATAAACATATAAAAAATAAACAATTTATGATGCATAGGGTTGATGTTGAAGAAAAACGATAAGAAAAGAGAAGCCCAACATTGATAGTTAAGAGGAGAGAAAATCGCCCGATATTGATGTCGAAGAAACAGCTCGGAGAATAGACCGTGAGATGTTGAATGAGAGAGATAAGAGGGGGGACGGAAACGACTTCGGTCTTTTTTCACTGAACTGATCAGATTTTATCTTTTGAAGCAATATTAATTCAATCAGGAATTTAAACTCAAACCTGATTAGATAAACATAACAAAAAATTAGCCAATTTTTTAGACTGAAAAATCGGTTGATATAACTAACATGTCTTTCGATATATCCAACATGAACATTGAAAATACAATGCACGTTAAAAAGCTCCCCTAGATCCGCCGTGTCGGCTAAAATATCTAGCATGACGACCGACATTTAAAATACTAAGCGGTAAGGGCAAATGTATAACCCATTTTGGTACGATTTAAATACTTACGATCGCTGCGTATAATACTTTTGAAGACGTGGCGATACGGAAGGGGGAAGCCGGCCCGCGAAAGGTGAGATGAAATAGATGAAAAGACCCGCT